GTTCTCAGTAGTGACAGATGGCAGAACAAGGAGCAGTGGTCTCAAGTTGTGGTGGGAGAGGTCCAGGTTGGATATTAGGAAAAACTATTTCACTAGGAGGGTGGTGAAGCACTGGAATGGGTTACCTAGGGAAGTAAAAGCGACGAGGAGTCCTGTGGCACCTTATAGACTAACTGAAGTGTAGGAGCATAAGCTTTCGTGGGCAAAGACCCACTTCGTCAGATGCAAGTAGTGGAGTCTCCATCCCTAGAGGTGTTTAATTCTCGGCTTCACAAAGCCCTGGCCGGGTTGATTGAATTGGGATTGGTCCTGCCTAGAGCAGGGGGCTGGACTTGATGACCTTCTGAGGTCTCTTCCAGTTCTATGATTCTCTGATTGAAAGCCAGTGCCACTATGTGATTAGTTTTTGTGTTGCTGTATTAATTGTCCTAATTCATTAATGTTGGCCAAATAGAACTAACAAGGAATTTGAAATCCTTCCCCTGTTTATATCCACTCCAATCTGTTGCTTAACTGTTTCTTTCTGCGTACAGATAGGTGCGAACTGAAAGGTTCACTGTCTGGCAGTAATGCGGGGATTACAAGTATCGAGTTTGACAGTTCTGTGAGTATTTGTGTAATGCCCATCATCTGTGTTTGGGGAGAAAATCGCAGTAGGTTGTGCTCGGCTACCAGTTTCATTTATATGCTTTGAAATACATACCCAAAAAAGCAAGTTAAAATATTTGTAGAACGGAACAAGTTTTAAAATATAGTGTGTAAAAAAATAAAAAAATAAATAATAAAAAAAATAAAATAAATAATAATAGGTTGTCTAATTTCAAAGGGTTTGTCTAGAAAGAGGCAGTTCAGTGAATTAAGTTTAAACGAATTAAAGCCACTGTATTACGAAATGGGGTATGTCTGCGCTTCAAACAGTACAGCCACGCTGCTGCAGTGTTTCAGCATAGACCAACTCTGCAGCAACAGGAGGGGTTCTACTGCTCTAGTTCATCCACCTCCTCGGGAGGGAGTAGCTAAATCAATGGAAGAACTGTCTACACCAGAAGCTAGCTTTTGTGTTTGAGGTGTTGATTTTTTCCATCCCTTAGAATAACAGCTATGTCATTGTAAATTCCCAGTGTAGACTAGCCCTAAGAATATCCACATGGGTTTAATGTATTCATTTCAAATTCACACTACAGTAAACTTCCGATAATCCGGCACCTTTAGGATCTGGGGGTGCCGGATTATCGGATATGCTGGAGTACCGGAAGGGGGGCTATGAGAGGTCTGGGGTGGGAGTGGGGGATCAGCAGGGAACTGCGCAGGATGGGAGAGGGCGGTGCTGCGGGACCAACCTGGCAGCACCCCAGCTGCTCTGCCCCCAGCTTCCCCAAGTCAGCTGCTGGTCGGTTTCAGCAGTGGCTGACTTGGGGAAGCCGGGGGCAGAGCAGCTCCAGTTGTCCAGCTGGCCAGAGCACTTCCGGGTTCCAGTTGGTGCCGGACTATCAGGAGTGCCGGACCACTGGATGCTGGACAGTTGGAGTTTTATTGTAATAAGTATTTTGAATCAACTTTCCTGAGTGTCTTTCTTTCCTTCCCATCCCACCCTGCCCCCAATAGACCAGTCCTAAAATTCTCATTTGCACTTCACTTTATAGAAGATAAACAAAATCCAGACATCTGGGCTATCAGGAATTTTTTTAATGGGTTAGGTCTTAATCCAAAGTATTGCTACCTTCTGTGCTCATTTAAGCTATTGGAGATGCATATATCTGCTTCTGTAATAAACATTTCTCAAGGTGGTGTTCAGGTTTAGATGTCTCACTGAGGTCTGTGATGAATAGTAAAAGGTCTGACAGATTACACTTCCATCACCCTTTCAACTCCCAGCAGTTTCTCACCCATCATACTCCAGTAATGTTGTGACTGGGGGAGAGTTTGCTGACAAATTGTGATGCATTCCGTTTGTGTTCCCTAGAGCACCACAGGCACAATTCTGATCTGCATCCAACAGAACCAGTCAAAAGGAGTATGGGGTTTTGGAGGTGCATATCTGGGTACATGATCTCAGACTTCCTTTCTGAGACCTCTTTCGTATCCTGTCAAGTTGAACTTCACTGTGGATGAACTTGAGGCCAAGTTTGAAGCCATCTTTACAGTTTAGCATTTTTGCATTGTTGACACAGCTCCAAAAAATCATTTGTTGGTCTTCAGCACCAGTCAAAAGGAGTATGGGGTTTTGGAGGTGCATATCTGGGTACATGATCTCAGACTTCCTTTCTGAGACCTCTTTCGTATCCTGTCAAGTTGAACTTCACTGTGGATGAACTTGAGGCCAAGTTTGAAGCCATCTTTACAGTTTAGCATTTTTGCATTGTTGACACAGCTCCAAAAAATCATTTGTTGGTCTTCAGCAGTGTGGGGCTGTCCCTACTGGAGGGTGCAGAGGAATGTCCACGTGGGCATGGAGGACCTAGGCCAGCCCCCTTGGGGGGGGAACAGCTACCATGCAGCGTCACTCTGACCCCAGTTTCACTGTGACTGTATCGCCCGTCCCATCCACCTAGACACTAAAATTCTGGTTACCTGCAGTAACCAATCTCCTCTGCACTGCTGCTGGAGCCTGGGGAAGCACATGGGTGGCTCTGGTAAGAGAAGTAGCAGTAATTCCCTGAGCGCAGCTGCCCTACCTTCCTCCTCCCCCCACCACACATACCACAAGTCCCAAGGAGGTGTGGACTAGGCAAAGGCGGTGGGGGGAGGGGGTTATGATGGGGAAAGTTTGGGGACCACTGCACTAGAGAACTGGCTAGTGCTGCTAATCTGCCTGGAGAACCTTGTTCCAATGTAGATGTCTTGATCATGTTTTAGATCTTGCCAGTTAAAACAGATACATTCTGGTTCCCATGATATTTTTTTTCTGAATCATTGAGTCACGTGAGAGAGACAGTTGTGTGGGCATAAGCCTTGTCTTGGGATTTTTCTTGAGAAATAACTTTGCCGTATAGTGTCTTGAAATATATTTTCTGTCTAGAGTGAAAGGAAGGAGGCACCATTCCTAAAAATCCATCTCTCCATTTCCTGACCAGAACTTACTAGTTTTTATTACCTCTGTCAAGAACCCAGGAGGTGGGAGTGAAATTGATAAGAATTAAGCCAGCATCACATTTGGGTCAGTTGGACTCAATAGCAGAGGCAGATGCTAGAGCCATTTGTGGGGAAGGAGAGCCAAAAACCAGAAGCTGTGTAAAGGCAGATTGGTAAAGAACCTCATTCACCATCTTTGCAGCAGCAAGGGGGTATGAATAGAAGTGGGATGGAGAAAATCTCTCTCCCTTCCAGCACTATCAACCATTGAATCCATGGATGTGGCTCATGGGGGTGGAGGCGGGAACATTGAAAATCTTTCTTGTCCAAACTTAATTTCCCCACCCGTGGCTTTCTTAACAGAATAGTGCTAAAAGTCAACTCTGTGGATTGTTGGTTTTAACGACTATCTGATAATATTGAGACTTTCCGGAAATACTTGCTTGGTATAGTAGCTTACTTCTCCATCACTGTAGGAAATTGCCTTAAATTGCTCTTGTTTCTGCAGGGCTCTTATCTCTTAGCAGCTTCAAATGACTTTGCTAGCAGAATCTGGACTGTAGATGACTCTCGGTTACGGGTGAGTCTCCTGAAGAAGACGAACAATATTATAGGATGTTTCTGCCTAGTATTATATTTTTTTCTTATGAAACACACTGGAAAATTGCAGATTCCACTGTTTTGAGATCTTGCCAAAGTGGTGGGGTGGCTTTTTTGGGAGGTGGGATGGATGTTTGCGCTCTTGTAAAATATGAGTTGATTTGGCTATCCCTTTTTAATAGCAGAGCACCTTTATAGCATAGCCTAATGTTCAACTCTGGCCTCTCAGAAACCTCTCCAGATATATGAACTTTCCTTCCTCTGCACACAGGAAGTATTAACCTTTGACTCATTTAAATGTTAAGACTTAGCAGTCTTAAAGACCCAAAGGCTCTAGCCTGGGTCAGGGTATTTGTAGTAAAGGTCAGGACAGGTTGTGGGCTTCTGTGAATTTTTGCTTATTGCCCATGATCTATCCCTGATTTTTGCTGCAAATATCTGACACAATCTTAACCTCAATCATCTTTTACATGGTGTAAAGAGTCCCCATGCAAAACTCCCCTGAGCCTTCACAAAATCTTTATGCAATTTCCAGTGTCCCTGATGACTTCTGGCTTTGGGTCAGTCCAGTCACGGCTCACTGAATTAATTCAGTGCAGTGAATGGGTTTGGTGCATGAATTTCTTTCCTTGCAAGTGCACTGAGAGCAATTGAATTTAATTAATATTAAATTCTGCATCCAGCTATTTATTTATAAACAAGTATTCGCTGTTAATGGCAGTGCAGCAAGGGTTGAAATAAAATATTTTCCAAGATTCTGTCTGTCCATAAAATTACGGTATCCGGAGTTTGTCGTGTTGTCTTGGGAGTTGATTTTTCAGTTTGTCAGACTCTGCTCCCATTTCATTTCCATTTTTAAGTCTTCTAGTAATTCTGGAGGGCTGTGTCTAGACTGGCCAGTTTTTCCAGAAAATCAACCACTTTTCTGGAAAAACTTGCCAGCTGTCTACACTGGCCGCTTGAATATCCGCAAAAGCACTGACTTCCTACTGTAAGAAATCAGTGCTTCCTGCGGAAATACTATTCTGCTCCCGTTCAGGCAGAAGTCCCTTTTGCGCAAAAGGGCCAGTGTAGACAGCTCAGATTTGTTTTCCGCAAAAAAGCCCTGATTGCGAAAATGGCGATCGGGGCTTTTTTGCGGAAAAGCGCGTCTAGATTGGCATGGACGCTTTTCCGCAAAAAGCGCTCTTGCAGAAAAGCATCCGTGCCAATCTAGATGCTCTGTTCCGAAAATGCTTTTAACGGAAAACTTTTCCATTAAAAGCATTTCCGGAAAATCATGCCAATCTAGACGCAGCCTAGGAGTGTGCAAGTCAGAAATTCAGTTTCTTTTGGCAAGGATTTCTCTGATCACTTTCCCTGTTCCTGGCAACCTGTTCCCTCATGCTACATTAGACAGAAGCAGTCATAGAAATCTGCTGGTGGGAACAATTCTGGAATCTCTGGCTATTTCAGGCTTTCAAGCTGAGACTTCAGAGTTAAAATTGGAACCTTTTTCCTGTACTTGGCAGAAAGTGCACTTCTAAAATCTGGAGACCTCATCACTCCAACTCTTAGCGTACTTTAGTCCATCCCCCGGTCTCTCCTTCAAGACTCTATTGTAGTTACCAGTCTTTCAGCTAACTGTATGCGGGGTGTTAGAAAAGAGTCATAGATTCCAAAAGAACGACTCCTTAACTAGCTAAAGGAGTTACTTTCTCTCTTAGTTACATCTCCTACCCAGAGGCTGAGGATGCTGCCTCTGCAGTACTCTTGGCACTGGCTGACTCAGAGAAGCAGACTGGGAGTCAAGGCTACATTCTGTTTAACCGGAATGGAAGGGTGGGGGCGGGGATATTTGTGACCCATGCCTTTAGTTTGTATGCCACTAAGATGGGAGGAGTTGAATCAAAGACTTTGTCCCCATTAAGCTGTTGAATGGCAAGATAAGAGCCATGAGCGCAGGAAGCAAATGCCTCTGAAGCTGCTCATTTACCCCGTGTGTATCTTCTCTCCCCAGCACACACTCACAGGCCACAGTGGGAAGGTTCTGTCAGCCAAGTTCTTGTTGGATAATGCACGCATTGTGTCAGGGAGTCACGACCGGACCCTCAAGCTTTGGGACCTGCGCAGCAAAGTTTGTAAGGAATTTATTTCCACGCCCTTTCTGTTTTTCACACACCTCTATAGTGGATGTAACCTGAAATTTTCCTTCAGCTTCATTGTTTCATTCTCTTAGGCCTGATCTACACTAGACCAAGTAGGTTGGCTTAAAGTGCGCCATCCAGCTACTCAGGATTTGACTTCCTTAGGCTGAGCCACCGCAGCGTCTACGCTATGAGAGACTGATGGGAGCACACGCTCCCATTAGCTTCCCTTACTCCTCTCAGGATGAGGAGTAGTACAGAACGCCTGTTTGGGCTGCCCTCAGCATTCGAGTTGGGGGTCTGTACTAAACCAGATGCTAGAAGGTCGACCTCCAGAGGGTCAGTCTGCATAGTGTTGACATGCCCTTAGTGTCCCAAAGAGCAGAAAACTGTTGGGTTTTGCTGATATGTGGCTCTTGGTAATTGCGAACCAAGCAGGGTCAGGCCTGACTGTTACCTGGATGGGAACCTAAGAAAAGATCATGTGCCACAGTGAAAAGCATTGCTGATTGAGAGGGCAACTGCATTCTGTAGACCCTCATGTCCATCAAACTGTATGGTGGGCTTTTATTCTTCTGTGGAAGCTTGAAGGCAGGTTAGATCTTACAATCCTGGGCTGGTCTTAAATCCCCTTTTGAAAACCCTACCTGCAATTTCTTGCCTCCAAGACATGCAAATGGTAGGATTAAGAATTCAGTTCTTCATAACAGAAACATTTCTTAAAATATTTTTCCTGGTTTCTGTTGTACAACTTGGCCCAGAAACAGCCTTTCTTCCTGTGGCGTCCTACACCCTTGGTTGAGTGGAAAGGGCAGCGTATCATATTGCTCATCTGTGACTTATCACCACTTCATAATTAGTCAGCCGTCCTTGTACAGTTATAGCGTGTTGGGCATGGCAATCAGATTATTCAGAAAAATAGTGCACAGTTGCGGATTTTGGATCTTCAGCAATCAGTTTCTTCTAAGACAGGCTCACCTGTCCTGTCACCTTTCACCTCCCCCCTATGGTCCCAAACTCTTCCTAGGGTACTAGTTTCAGTGCAGCTATTGAATTTTTGTTTGCTGTTAAATGGCTTTAAAATACTGCTGTCAATTTGTACAGCACAATGGAATTGGACTGTGCTGTTAGTGACTCCCTCATCCCCTCTTTTTTCTAGGTATAAAAACAGTATTTGCAGGATCAAGCTGCAACGATATCGTGTGCACAGAGCAGTGTGTGATGAGTGGGCATTTTGATAAGAAGATTCGCTTCTGGGATATCAGGTAAAGCTATCTTTTGACACCGGTGGGGGAGTGGGCTTGGTTAGATCCTCTAACAATCATTTAATGCTAAGGAAAGAATATAAGATGAATCTGAATTGTGACTCTCCTCCTCTCCCCCTACCCCCCATGGTTTCTGAGCTCTCTTATTGCTTGGAATATTTATTAAAGGACTATGAGGAAGGCACCAAGCATAAATAACCTTTTTGCACACTCAAACTGTTATTTTGATGTCTGAGCTATTAGTAGCATGGTGTATGATATAAAAATTGACAGCAGAGTAGCCCCTGAGTAAGGAAATACCTTGCATTGTCATATTTCTACCTTTCTGGCTAAGTATCCCTAGGTGGTTCTGAAGAAAGTTCTGGTCAGTCCTTGGTTAGGCACAAAATATCCACAATGTGAGGCTTTAATTGGGGAAATAAGAAAAATGAGGAAGTAGATAATGAATACATAGCAAATACTTGTTCTTTTCTCCCTGGGCACTGCAGCATTTCTGGGGATACAGATTTTGACCCATGATCGGATCTGCTCCTAAGGGAATTCTATGCCAAAAAATTAAATTCTGTGTACAGAATTTAAAGTTCTGCATATTTTATTTGTTAGTAAATAAATGTGAAGGCTCTAGTATGGCAGTGGGAAGGACAGGCACTAGCTGTACAGAGGTAAGAGATCAGCCTGGTTTGGGCACTCAAAAAACCACGCCTTTGCTGTGAAAGAGGGGCACCTAACTGCTCTTGCAGTCTCCTTTTGCTTCCCCATCAGAGGGTCATTTTTCTGTGGGGAAGCAAAGAATTCTGCAGGGGATGGGAATTGTGTGCGCATACAGTGGTGCAGTATTCCTCCTGGAGTCAGGATCCTTGATACCCAGTTACCCATGCTATTTTCTGTCTTCAGGACGGAGAGCATTGTGCAGGAACTGGAACTGTTTGGGAGGATCACAGCTTTAGACCTGAACCCAGAGAGAACAGAGCTCTTGACCTGTTCTCGAGATGATCTGCTGAAGATAATTGATTTACGAGTCAATACTGTCAAACAGACTTTCAGGTGAGCGTGATTCCAGTAAGGTATGTGGCAAGTCACTGGATTCTGTGGCATATTTGTAAGTTGGGTGTTTCCTTTGTCCTTTGTATATGAAACTTTCCAATTAGTCCCTCAATGGTAAGGTCAGTCTTTGGAGCCATGACTGATGATGCAATTAAACACCAAAGGTGCATTTTTTTCAAGGTTTACCTCCACCTCTTTGAAAGACACAACTTGTCCCTCTTACTGGGGAGAACGTCCTACAAATGAGGTTGAAAGGATAGAGGTCTTTTGCATTAAATAATATGTAGAATTTATCCCAGTTAGTGCTCTTAGTCTTTGAGGAAAAGCTGGTTTTCCCAGGGCTCATGTTAGAGGAATGTAACAACTATCTGATTCTGGCTTGTTTCAGTGCCCAGGGATTCAAATGTGGATCTGACTGGACCAGAGTCGTCTTCACCTACAAATGAGGTTGAAAGGATAGAGGTCTTTTGCATTAAATAATATGTAGAATTTATCCCAGTTAGTGCTCTTAGTCTTTGAGGAAAAGCTGGTTTTCCCAGGGCTCATGTTAGAGGAATGTAACAACTATCTGATTCTGGCTTGTTTCAGTGCCCAGGGATTCAAATGTGGATCTGACTGGACCAGAGTCGTCTTCAGGT